ATAAATTATCTATTAACCAAAGTGATTATTCATTATTTCAATTCAAAAGTTACATATTTTTAAATAAATTTCTGCTTTTACTAAAATCTGAAAATATTAGAATTTGCTTCTCAATAGAAAAATTTCTTGTATTTTGTCATTTATATTTATCCACATTTGTTTTATATTTTCATCAATTTTCTGAAATTTCTCTCATTTTTTTAAATATACAAGTTTAAAGTTAGTAAAAGAAGATATACTTCCTCTACTTCCAAGTTAGGAGATTTCAATTTTCCCTCACTTATTTTTATTGACATGCAAAGACATTTTTCAAAGTTGCTATAAAAATTGCATAATTCCAACTCAGCTCTCTCTCAGCCAGATGCCAAACAAGCCCTTCTGTTTCTCCATTTCACCAGGCACAATGAGAATTGTGATGGAATGTAAGTCAGAGGGCAGGGCAAGGCCTTGAATGGCTATACTTCCTTAGTTTCATGGTACATCTACTGCTGACAAATGTGTCCTTTTATTTGTATTATCCCCTAAGAGTAGATCATGAACTATTAGCAGATGAATTTAAGAAGATCTTGTTAAAAATGTATATATATATGAATTTGCCATACAAACAGTATACGTTTGCAACTAGCCAACTTCTTACTGGATTAGGATTGCTAGGACAGTAAAACAACAAGGAACTTCTACAAGATGCACCTTGCTTAAATTAAGAATTATTGTGTTTCCACCTTGTCACCCAACCATACTCTCTCATAAATTAGCAGTGTTTAAACACACATCTGCTGTTCTAAGGGGAAATACTTTCCAGAATTAAATGGAGGTGTCCGTTTATATGGAGTGTAGATTTTCACTGAACAAAGTCCAAGAAGGCATATTGACAAAAGTTGTGCTTTTTCCTCTTTCTAACTCCATATTCAGTAAAGTTATTGATGAAACCATATTGACCTTATGTATCAAGTCAATTTACACTGCTATGTTGTCGTGCATTCCATAAGGGGATCAATCTGAATAAAAATCTGGGACAAGAGATCTAAGAGATGAAGTAGGTAGTATTTGGTAAAATGATTTAGAGTCAAACAAAATTATTGTCCTGACCTACAATTCAGGGGTTCTGCCTTTTGAACAGATGATTTCAGCAGTTGTGAAGGATGGTGGTTATGATTCACATTCTTTTACTTGGAGTTAAAGGTTCAGTCAATGTCTGGCTGGAGTTGGATGTTCGGTCAATGTCCATGAAAAAGAAAGTATCTCGCCTGCATGAAATTAAATAACTTGAATTACACTGTTATCTAATCCACAAAAAAATTGAAAAAATACTTAATGTAATTGCTGTTTTTGGATTCAAAGAAAGAAAACGTCAACATCGAAGTGTTTTGAGGGATTTTTTCATACTTAAAAATATTTTCCTTGTAAACGTTAATTAGAAATTGAAACAACTGAAAGTCTTAAAGTTCATGTGAAAATTTAAGGTATTTGTCAGAAAACCAACAAAATTTATAGATGAGTCTAATAAAGTAATAATTTGTTATACGTTATGTAGTTAGAAAAAAATTAAGGAACAAGTACCCTGTCTTTGAGGGCCTTACATCTAGTTGAGAAAGAAAATATGTTCTTATGGTAACATCATAAAATGTTTGTAACACAAAGTAATATAGAGACCCAATAAGCACTCCAAGTTTAATTACTGTTAGACATTTTTAATAATGTCAGGCATCGAGCATTAGACTACTATGTGTAATGCTACTGTCATTATTTATGAAAATGGCATATTTATTAATAAATGTGCCTATAATTTGTGCTAATGAAATCTGCTGTTACAATAGTTTTCGTATATTCGTGAATGAACTATGGGCAAAAGATGTTCTCAAACCTGTGATTTCCAACTTAAAATTGTATAACTGAAGCAAACAGCAGTCAGAAATATAATATTGTATATTAATTGTTATTCTAAAATTCAAATTTAACTGGGTATTTTGTAATCTTATTTGCTGATAGAAACTCTATTTAGTTTCTATTAAATGAATTAACAAATATATATTTTTTTTATAAAACATATTCAGTGTCCCTATCTTTTCCAGTTAATGATATGGAGATATTTTCATATCTATTGATATCATTTTGCTTCATTATTAGTCTATTCAACAGCATGCTATAGCACTTACATAATTCTGTTTATTTAAAGGTCTCTCAACTAAAAGCCACTTAGATTTTGCAGATATTATAGTATCACACAGTAAGAAAAATTGAAAAGTATATTCTTGCATATGTTTCTTTGGCTATATGGCAAATATCTCTCCAAAGTAAGTAATAGAAGTTTAAAGTCAAAATTCAAACCTTTTTCATTTTAATAAACACTGACTGAACCACATACAATGTTTAGCCAATATATATTAACAACAACAGATTCAATTAATTTTCTTTTTGGACTTTGATGGTAGAAAACAATAATTTATTTTAATTTGCATTCTTCTGATCAATGATTTGATTATCTTTTCAGATTTTTATTAGTCATTTCTGTTTTATCAAACTGTGTTTCTATTACTCTTTTTTCTTTATTGGTCATTTTTAGTATGTTAGATAATAATACTCGTAAACATAGCAAATATTTCCCTCCAGTCTGCCTCTTGCTGTGTGACTTTGTGGTAGCTTTTGCTTCATAGGCGTTTAAATATTAATGTGATCAAGTTTAGCAGTACTTAGATTTATGGATTTTGAGTGCTATTTTGAGAAAGAAGGTGCCTGTGGTAGGCTGAATAATGATGCCTAAAGATCTCCATACCTAACTCCCCAAAGCTGTGAATATGTTACCTTAAATGGTAAACGGGATTTTACAGCTATGATTAAGTTAAGGATCTTGAGATGTGAAGATCATCCTGGATTATCTGGGTGGATCTGGTGCAATTACAGGGTCTTTGTAAGAGAGAAGGCATTATGAAACATTACAGAGGGGGCCGGTGCCATGGTTGAGTGATTAAGTTTGCTTGGTGCTCTCCTTGGTGGCCCAGGGTTTTTCGCAGGTTAGGATGTTGGGTGCGGACATGGCACCGCTCATCACGCCATGAGGCATCCCACATGCCACAACTAGAAGGACCCACAACTAAAAATATATAACTACGTACTGGGGAGCTTTGGGGAGAAAAACGAAAAAGAAATTCTTTAAAAAGAAAGAAAAAAAGAAACTGCAGAGAGATTTGAATATGCTACACTGCTGGCTTTGAAGACGGAGGAAGGTGCCAGAAGACAAGGAAAGCAGCTCTAGAAGCTGGAGAAAGGCAAGGAAAGGCTCTTTCCTAGAGCTTCTGGAAGGAGAGCAGACCTGCAGGCACCTTGATTTCAGAACAATGAACCCGTTTTGGACTTTGACCTCCAGAACAGAAAGAGAATAAATTCGTGTTGTTTTCAGCCACCAAATTTGTGGTAACTTGTTACAGCAGTAACAGAAAACTTACACAACACCTGTTCCATTTAAAAAACTTCCGTATTTTTTTAATCAATTTAAACTAGCTGTTCGTTTTCTAACTAGTATTTTTTGTAGCCTACTTTTTCACAAATTAATAACCATTGCTCCATTATTAATTGTTGAAAATGCTTTTCCTTCTCTAAATTTACTTTGCACTGTTTAATTAGCATATAATCATCAAGTTGTTTCCAAATTCTCTCTGCTATGCCCTGAGTCTATTTACATATCATTGTGATAATAGGACACTTTGTAAATGTTTACAGCTTTATATACTGTTTGTTATTTGGTAAGGCAAAAATCCCCTTACTGTTTTTTTTTGACAAATGCTCTTAGATAGTTTTATATACTTATGCTGGGGAAAAAAATCTTTTGCTCCAATTATTTAAAATTCTCTATTAGAATACTAATCATGAGGATTTTTTAACTCCTCTTTCAAAGAGAGGGCATTTGTTCTTTTAAATTTTGGAATGGCCCTCAATATTTCAAATACTTCCTCTTCTTGTTCTCTGTTTTTGGAACTCCTATGACTAATCACTAGAGCCCTAGGTGTACCTGCCAATCCTCTGAATTTTAACTTATCTTTTAATTTCTTAAATTTTTATATTATGTTCTTAAAGGTTTATGAAATCAATTTTTCATTTTAAAATTTGGATTTTTCAAAACATATATTTATGGCAAAGTCAGATCAAGCTAGGCTTGTAGCTTCTGGGGTGAGACCTGAGGCACCTGGGAGCACAGCGGCTGGCCCTCAGGCCTCCTTTGGGAAAAATCAGCCTCATGGGTAAGTCTCTTTCTTGGTTTCCCTCTTTCAGATGTACCTAAGTTTCTGGAACAAAGAGAATTCCCTTAATTGACTTGCATTGCTATATACAAACTTTTATATTTGTAGCACACACTTAATATTAGTATATCTTTTTCTTTCTTTCTAGAAACTATTTGTTTGAATATAAATTCCAGCTGTTCCCAATCTGCAATTTTTAAACTGGAATTAATATTTCATAAACTAAAACGCCCATGAAATTTTGGGATTATTCTTACTTAGACATGTTGTGGGATGTAGTATTTTTAAATTTTCTGCTTCATTATTAAATGACATTTTTGTTTTTGTAATGTGTGATTCTTGTTTAATTTCGAAGCCACATTAAACTAACTTTACAAAATGAATGACTGAGCTAAATAATTCATGTGGATTCAGTGATTTTAGGATTTGAACTTGTATTGCCTTTCCATTTTCTTTTAGGTTTATTTTCCATTCTGTCTCTATTTTGTTTGACCTCATTATTGTAAATTATAACTTAGTAGAAATTAATCCATATAATATACAATCAGAAATGTATTGGAGTACAAGTACAAAAATATGTTTTTATCTTTTCAAAGAACCAACTTAAGTTTTAATTAATGACACTACAATTTTGGTTGGTAGTAGACTCCTTAATTTCTCATCATATCTTTGCAAATTTATTTCCACTTTTTAGTTTGTTTTATTTTGTTGGTCTTTTTATAGATTCCTGATATTAAAATTTTGTCCATTTATTCTTTCTCTAAGATATCTACTTAAAGCTACAACATTTCACTTGTGAACTACTTTGGCCATAACTCACAAGGTACTTTTTTTCCCTCCCTCATTTGTCTGTTTATCATTTTCATGAAAATGATCACACACAGAAGTAAAAAAAATAGTAAATTAAACCCCATAAATGCATGACACAAAAGTTCAAAAATTATTTTCATTTTGTCTCATTTGCTTCACTTGTCCTTTTTTTCTCTAAAGAATTTTAAGCAAATTCCCATGGATCAAGAATTTTCACCCATATATACTTCAAAATTTGTCTTTCAGTTCAGAGATATTTTCACTATATAAGCGCGATGCTGTTCTGTTATCACATTTCCTTCATTTTCTCCAAACTGTCATTTAGAGTTGATTTATTTTAGTAAGTGTTTAAACAAGATCCATGCACTGCCTTTAGCTGTTAGAAGTCTTAAGTCTAGTTCTTCTATTTTCTTAATGTAAAAACCTGTTAAATTTCCCTTTAGTACTTGCCACATTCTGTCTGTTTCTGCTTGTTCGCTGATTAAGTCATTGAACTTGCTTCTCTATTCTCTGTATTTGTTAAACATGAAGATAGTTCTAGAGATTTGATTAACAAATTTGACATGGATACTTTAAAGATACTCCTCTGAGATTCATATTGCTCCACATCAGGAAACAAAATATCTCTTGCCTATTTTTAGAGAAGCTAAGATTCCAATAGTGGTTCAAGATATGTCAGCCTTCCCTTTCCATTTTATGGAAATGCTCCATGAAGCGTTCACTCAAAAATTTCATTCATTATTGGTTGTTTTCTGAAACAATTATTTCCTGAGGAATTACCAAATGTTGATTTTCAAATTTTATCACTTTCTTCACATTTTGGCTTCCATGATATAGATATCTGATCTTAAGTTCCTTTGAGTTTAGTTTTTACTTCTGAAAAAAAGTGTATTTTTTTCCAATTCTTTCTGATATCTGTCAACTCTCATTTCGTTGTCCTTCTGCTGTCTAGCTACAAAAGATCAGAATTTATTTATATTCTGATTAGTGTTCTTCCAAAGCTTGGACAGTTACCTGAATTTCTCATACAGCACTTAAATCGTCAGATTACTATCTTCATTTGCTTTGTGGTCACGTTCTTCTCATGTCTACTCATTTTCTATTGTAATTTTATTAGGTACATTTTATATTTTTTCTTCTGTAAAATTTTTGGTTTTGATTTTAATTAATTGTTTCCCATGTCTAAATGAGATGTGTCCTAAACTATGTGGAAAAGGTTCATTCCAAGTATTTTATATATTTTACTTTCTTATGTATATTTCTACATCTATTTTTTTCTATGTTTTTTGTGTTCATCATTTGTAAATCAAACACTATTATAAATTTTTTTTAACTCTTCACAAGTATATTTGGATAGTTCATTGTTATTATTTTCTATTTATATTCATTAATACTTTGAGGTCATTGGGTATGACCTAACTAATTGATCTTATCTGGAATTTCTTGAGATATTCTCTATAGCCTAAAGATATTATCTAGTATTTCTTTTTCAGGATATGATCGTAGGCCTCATACTTAAAAGCTTTCTACAGAGTTCTATTGTATGCCATTTTATTGTCTTGCACATATTTACCAGTGGCAATTCTGCTGACAGCTATTCTCATTCATTTGAAGATGACCATTCTTACTCTTCCTAAACTTTTTGGATTTTCATTTTGTTTTTGGTGTTCTGAACATCATGGTTCAGCTTCCTCTCTATTCCTCTGTTGACAAAGGGGAGCGTGGAGAAGCTTGCTAAATCCTTTTTCATCCATAAAAGGAGGCATCAGATTCCAGTCCTTGATTTCACATTTTCTCTTATCTCTAGCCTGAGTCTCTATGATGCCCAGTCTTGGGGATGAAAGAAAGACAATACCAAGGACTCTTCTCAAGGACATTCATCTATCTCACTATTTTGCTTCTACTCCACTTTTTTGTATAAATAAAAGAGTTTTTATCATCCTGGAGTAAATAATACAGATTCATTGTTTGGGGCATATATTTTTCTAAGAAATCTACTTAAAGCTACAATATTTCAGATCTTTGCCTTTGAAACTTAGAGCTCTCTTTTCTTTGTGTCATGTCTTATCAGTTTCTTTATTTTTCTCAAAATCTTCAGTAGAAAACAGATAACTCTACAAATAAAGTTAAGGACTGATCATTTCTAATGCTTCTTTAGCAGTGAGGGCTTTGTTAACAGTGTCCTAAACAATATGTGTCCAATATGTTTGGATATATTAAAGTATACTGTATCAGTCTAATGATGAGAGTGCTTCCTTTGAACTTTCTATTTCCCAACTGGCTATACAGTCTAATATCCTATATATTAAGCCTGGTAAAGTGTTACATCTTTATTAACCCAATTATATTGCAGTCTCAGGAACTTAAACTTGCAATTCAATGAGTTTGTAAATCTCCATTTGTGCCTGGAATCAAGATAATGTAAATTGCAGTGCTGTGTTCGTCTGCTGAGAAGTAGAGAAAGCCAGTCTACAGAGGGAAGAATGAAGCAGACATACAAAGTGGTGCAGAGATAAGAGGTCATGTGGCTCCAGGGGGAGAGAAAGAGAGAGACTGATGATGTGGAAGCTTTGATCCTTGATAGATTTGCACGTCTCGATTCTCAGCCTCAGGAGGTCTGAATGTACTGCCTGCCCTTGTGTCCCATGTAATGCTGCTGTATCCTCTACTTGCATCCCTTTTAATAAATTCCTTTCTTTTATCCTATTTCTTGGCTTAAGGCATTTTAAATTCAGTTCTCTAATGAGCCGAGATTAACCTTGACTTGCATGAATATTATTTGGAGCTTACATTGTAGAGTGATTAATTTAAGACATTGTGTATATAACACACTAAACAGGTACAGGAAACAAATGATAACTTAGGAAAAATAGCAGATTTTAGTTGTATCTTTCAGGGCCTTACTATATCAACTTTAACTTTAGTTCAACCTGTTTAATTGTATTTCTAATTACTACTGAGTCTAATTGATTAGACTTTCAACAGTTCCTAAAGTCATTCACTACTGATGACATGGTCTCATAACTAATAATAATAAGAAAATCCTGAGGAGTGAGGTGAATTTTCTGAATCAAATAAATGTTATGGTGGCACTTTTATATTGCCAGTATGTGTGCTAATATTTTAATCACTTTTGATATCAAAATAAATTGAAATGGAAACACTGTCTCTAAGGGCATAAAGATGCATTTCATTTTCTTTAAAGATATACAATTCCATATTTTATACTAAACAAAGCACTAATCACATGTTAGAAAAATAAACCTCTGAATATTTGTTACAATTGTAATATAAATCTGATTAAGGAACACAAGTGATATTAGAGGATTTTAAAAAATGAACCCATTTTTTATACATTGACACATCAATTTGCATCATATATATGAATATACAGTACTTCGTTATTAATTTGTTCATATTAATAAAGATATCAAACATTGTTGAGATGCAGTATCTCTGAATTATTCAGGCAAAGCACAGATATTATGGTCTGTCATAGTTTCTAATTGTGTTTCTGTTACCGGATACAAACATATGCTCTTTACTTGCCACACAAGAGGGACCTAATAAAAACTGGAACACTAGGCTTATGGCAAGGAAAGTGTTTTTATTTCAGATGATGTTAGCCAGCAGATGAGAGTGAGCCCTCAAATTTGTCTTGTCTCCATGAGAGATGGGAGGCCAGGAGTTTTAAAGGTTGAAAGGAATGCAGCTGCTTGTAGGGAGGGGAGCCTGTGGCTTTGCTGGTTGGTGCTTTCCCACCAGCCTACATTTGGCTTTGTGAGGCTGCTTGCAGGGAGGAAGGTGGTGAGATAAGGGAATCTGCAGGTGGGTATTTGTGGTTGTCTGCCTCTGTGGTGAATGGTGGATTCTGGTGCCAGGAAGCTGAGGACTGGGCTCTAGGAAGCTTCTGCTTCTTGATATCAGTTTCCCTGTAATAAAACTTCAAAGGACCGATAACTAGCCAAAATGTTAGCATGAGGCCACCTGGGCTTTTGTAACTTCCATTTGCCTTGTAAAGTCCAGGGATACAAAGGTTTAAAAAACTGATATTTCCATGTGAATGTAACTTAGAGAAGTAGGAGAAGAGGATGAGTGCTTTTGGTTTTAGCCCCGTATATGTCGGGTTTAATGTAGGGGAACGGATATCAGGGCCAGTATCAGTTCCACTGCTTACTAGTTCATGGTTCTGGGCAAGTTACTTAAATCCTCAAAGTCTCAGTTTTTACAGTAAGTTCTTGGAGTTATGATGTTAGTTTTATAATATAATGTTTTTAAAACATGTAGCACAATGCCTGGCATATAGAATACAATTAGTAATTGAATATTAATATTACTAAAGCAAGAGAAAAATAAGTGCATAAATTAGTTTATACATAAAGGAATAATGATCATTGCTTCTTCAGGTATGAGGTTTCATGTGTGATTTCTCAGGTGTCCTCTTCCACCAGTGCAAGTTTACTTCACACTTGGAGAAGCCACAATGCCTCAGGGAAGACCTCTTTCAGATCTTCTCCCTGAGCCCCATCTTTTGGCTTACTTCCCTCGATCACCTGGTGAAGATCCTAGGAAAATATTGCCTGGTTCTTACAGCTTACTTTCTGTCTGGAGAACCTTGGGATTCTGTCATATCTGCATTAAAAGTTCAACCATGTGTTCTCTGGTTTCTTACTACACTCAGCTGATTGTTTCTCTCATTGTCCCACCAGGGTTAAGAGAAGTCATTAGTCCCTTCTCTCATATGGGGCTTCTCACTTCCAACACTTAATTCTTTTAAGCTTCTTTTTTATTATCAGCTCTCCGAGAAAAAAACAATGCTTTCATAGCTTGTCAAATGTGGTTTGGTTTTTAGGATGGGAGTGATGGTCTCTTGCGACTGTCTATAGCCTATTCTTTCTGAAATTTCCTAATTAATTAAAGGTAATTTTGGAGAAAATAATCAGCCCATGGACTTCAAGTTATAATGACTTCTGTGTATAATATTATCCCAGAGGAGCATAGATGTTGATGAGAGAATTTGGGTTCAAGTTTTGGGTCTGATTTTCACTAACTGTATCAGATTAAGTGCCTCTTTTGTGCACTTATCAAGGACATGTGCCCTGTAAATATTCCGTTGCCTTGCAAACACCAAAAAAGGGAAATATTTTGATAGAAGAATGAAGTGTTAGGCAAAGTATTATACTCCCTGAACCCCAACTTCTTTACCAATGAAGCAGGGATGAGAAGTTTAACTTTAGGGCTGGCCTGTAGCTGAGTGGTTAAAGTTCTGCCTGCTCTGCTACCATGGCCCAGGTTCCTGGGTTTGGACGACATGCTCCACACGTCAGCCATGCTGTGGAGGCATCCCACATACAAAGTAGAGGAAAATTGGCACCCACGTTAGCTCAGGGAAAATCTTCCTCAAGTGAAAAAAAAAACCAAATGATTTTAACTTTATAAAATTAAAGTGGATTAAGAAATAGCAATAATTAGTGTTACAACCTTTGCATATTAAGTAAGACTGTGGGTTTTTTTTTTCTCTACAGCTGTGAGAGGTTTGGGAAGATATTTTGGAACTAAAGATTGTAAAAAAAGACTTTAATGATTGAGAATACTGGTGTCTAGGAAAATAGTCTTATTGGTGACAGAATGAGTAGCTCCTTTTTGTCAGTAATTTTAGGCAGGATAAATAGACCGTTTCAGCACTTTGAAACTATAAAACAGATGGTTTAGTAAGACCTGCCAGATGGAGGAGATGTGACAGATCAGAGGGTACAAGATTGCCTGCCTAGACCACCAAATATATCCTTCCTCTCTTCCTCCTCAGTCAAGCCATAACTATTTGTTTGTTTATTTTTGTTTTCCAGGAATCCACCTTACTCCATGTGGTCACAGTCCTCCAGGGAAGTATAACTTAGTCCATGAAATAAAATCCTTTTAGTCTAAACTGAGTATGCTGGTCCCATTATTTTTCTCATGGGTTGGTTTAGAAATGGAATTATGACATAATTCTCATCCGTAATATAGGAAGAACCCAACCGTCAAATTCTAGAAAGCTTTTCCTCACTAATAAGGAGAGACAAACACTTTGGAAGAGTGTTCTCCTCCTCTACCCCCCATGTCATTGGCCTGAAACCACGGTAACCATCTTTAGAACATGACGGCAGCAACGCTTCTGACAGGGTAGATGGAAAGAAACTGAGACTTTAGTGCTTGGAACGGACTTCCCGCTGTGTTAGAGAAAATACTTTCCTTACCTTTAAAATTCAGTTGAGACAGGTTTGTATTATGTGCACCTGAAAGCATTCAGTGAGTATGAAGGCGAGTGCAGTATGTGAGCCATGAAGTCCCATCGACTGTGTGGCAATTGGTTAGTGAGTTCAACAGGCTAATTTAAAACAGAAAATGTGAAAATTGATGCCATTGCTCTATGAACAATGAGATTCTTTATTAGGAAACCACATTGTCGAAAGTAAAATTATTTAGAGCATTTCCTTCTGAATTGGATATAATTCATTGGAGGTATTAGAGATCAGTGTTCATACTTATTTTGGTAAATCCAGTACATAGCACAAAGTATTCAATAAGTATTTGATGAATAATAATAAAAGATTAATCACTTTGAAAAAATATATATATATTTTTGTGAGGAAGATTGTCCCTGAGCTAACATCTATGCCAATCTTCCTCTATTGTATATGTGGGATGCGGCCACAGCATGGCTTAATGAGAGGTGTGTAGGTCCATGCCCAGGATCCAAACCTGCAAACCCCAGGCTGCTGAAGCAGAGCACTCAAATTTAACCACTACGCCACAGGGCCGGCCCTTGAAAAAATATTTTATATCTGCTATACAGAGAACTAGAAAAGGTACAGTTTATAACTGATGGCAGAATAAGCCATAATTACAGAAACACATTGCTGAATTAATTGCTGAGTTGAAATAGGATATTATAGGACCCATAAAGTGATGGAATATAATAACAAATGGATTAATGGTATTGTATGTATGAAGAGAAGATGAGTCTGGAAGAACGTAAATTATTTGTCACCTTTCATTAAGTCTCATTTAACATCTTAAGTGACAGATTAATACATTATAAATTATAGGTCTTAAGTGAAAATTTGATTTCACTAAAGGTTATATATTTTACATAAAAATGAAATAACTAAAAACTGATCTGATTCTCAAAGGTAAAGCCTGAAATTACTGGGACTACTCATTGGAAAATTCCAAATTTTCTTTTTCTCTTATCTTGTCCTCCTTTGCTTTCCCTCTCCTTTTTTTTAACCAGTTATTCTGTCACTACTCAGGGCTCTCTGTTTTATAATCATTTCTGACATGACCTCCTAAGGCAATATTCAGTGTTTTAGACTAATCTCTCTAGTCTACTCTACAAATTATACTTGTTCCCAGCAACCTAGTTTTGTTGGAAAGTGTTCATTAGCTATTTCACCTTGGAGTGAAGTTGAAAAATATATTACCTTAAGGCAGAATGTAGGACATTCTTTGGAGATATTTAGGAGCTCCTCAAATTGTACAATCAATGGACCTATGGTATGTTTGATATAAGCCAGTAGAAGAAATGGAGAATCCTGATCTAGTCATTCAGGTCAGGAGAATCAACTCCAGAGATCGACTGGATAACAGAACTCCCAAACTAATAATCCTCAAGCCACTGATGTAGCTAGATGACTGTTTCATTTTTCTGTGAGACTTGATCTGAGAAAATTAATTGTAAATATATGGAGATATATAAAAATAATAATGGGGAAATAAACTTTCTCTACTATGAATAATTCAGGGAAATCAAATGGCAATCCTCTAACTAGTGAACAAAAGTTATAATCAGGAAATATCAAATGTGTGTATTTGTGTGCGTGTATGTTGAGCTGGGTGCATTCTCTACAGCTAAATATAGCTATATATTTATGTAAGATTAAATGACTAATGCAGCATATTATCCATTATTGAAAACTATATTTAGATACTTTTGGAATGAAAATGTGTGCACCCTACTGGCTTGAACAAATTAATGCAAATTCAACAAATTCTGTCATGATTAGTTACTTATATATTCAAGAATTAGATCTAGAAAAAGATATACATGTGGCCTTCTATTTTTAAAATGATTTGGGAAATTTGTGCTATAAAAAAATAAGAAATGTTAATATTCTATTTTCTTTTAGTTTTGTTTCTCTTTGTATTTGAACCCTGATACATTTGAAAAGGAACAGCTGGGGAGAGACAAGCAATTTTAGAAATCGTGGATTCTTCCACAAAACTGTATTTAAACTCAGATTTATAATACTCCTTCTATTTTTGAGAAATAGTATGTAATTGGCTTACGTAAATTAACTTATTTTGAGAGATTATATATATAATGTATGTATTTGTGCATATGGGTATGTATAATTTTTGATAAATTATAAAAACGTTTTGCAAATGTCCTTGGTTATATTCAATTTTATTAAATGTAAAAAGCACTCACATTTGCAATGCTATTAGAAATATCGGGCTATAGAATATATGGTAAGATATGAAAGTCTGAAAATTAAACATACTTTTTTTTTGGTTTATGAGGAAGATTAGCCCCTAGCTAACTCCTGCCAGTCCTCTTCTTTTTTGCTGAGGAAGCCTGGCCCTGAGCTAACATCCATGCCCATCTTCCTCTACTTTATATGTGGGACTCCTACGACAGCATGGCGTGCCAAGCAGTTCCATGTCTGCACCCAGGATCCAAACCGGTGAACCCCAGGCTGCTGAGAAGCAGAAAGTGAGAACTTAACTACTGCGCCACTGGGCCAGCCCAACATATATTTTCCTAATGTTTTCAAAGATGTTTCCCAGTAAATACTGTAATAATAATTTATTTATTTCATTTTGTTAGTAACTTCTCAATTATTTCCCACACTGAATGGCAGTAAGTTAGTTGTTTAAATTAATACATATTAAAACTGTCATGACCTTGAACACAGTACTATTCAAGAGAATGGACAGAAACTTAATAACTACACTATCCATTGTGTTAGTCACTAACCACAGGTAGCTACTGAGGGCTTGATACGTGGCTACTGTCACTGAGGGAGAAAATTTTTATTTGATTTTATTTTAATTAATTTAAATGTAACTTTAAATAACCACATGTTGCTAGTGGCTACTATATTGTATAGCACAGTTATGATATTGGGAGTAATACATGTGTCCTCGAAGTTTTTTTGTCATTGCGAAATAAAGCATACAGAGCCTTCAACCTGGAAAGAGACAGAGAGAGTTCTTCCTGATATTAGAACTGAAAAAAATAATAATTCCACACAATGCATAGCCTAATGAAGTGCAGGTATAAAGTAGAAACGGAGAATGGTGGTATGTAAGATTAGACGAATACAGCTCATAGAAGTGTTTTGTCTTTGTGCTGATTTATTGTAAAGAATTTGCAGGACTTTTCTGTGGGGAGGATGGTGTTTGGCATTTGTTCCCACTCTGCCCACCTCTGCCTGTTTCCTGAGCTGCATAGGCTCCCCTATTTATGATCACAAATCTGACCTGTGAGTTTTAGGATCTGTTTCTGTTGACCTTAGCCTACACTAAAGATAAGATTTTTTCTTTCTACTTTAAAGGTATATTTATTTGAATTTAATATAAATAAAAATTACTGTATTTTATAATCTATGAAAAGCTGATATAAAAAGGCATATTCTTCTCTGAAGCTCAAATAACTAATTTGTTAAATAAGAACATTTGTTATATGTTTCTTGTAAAGGGGGCCATTAGACAAATACCTGCTTTACCTATAAAGTCAAACATAGCTGTAATTTTCAGAGAAAACTTCCTTTGAGATAATTTAAAATCAATATAATTCTTGCCATATTGTGTAGTTTTGAGAAAAGCAGTGACCTAATTTTATATTGAAAAAAATATTTCATATTATGTCATAGAAAACTGTTGTTCATCAAAGGATACTAATAAAAATCTGAAAAGACATGCATAAAATAGGAGAAAATATTTGCAAATCATATATCTGATAAGAGTCTAGTATCCAGAATACTTAAAAATATATTAAATATATAAAATATTAACATGCATTAAATATATAAATGTATATTAAATATATAAAATATATGGTTCAGCATACAACTGAGCAATGAAAAGACAACCCACTTAAAAATAGACAAAGGGATAAACATTTCTACAAAATGATGTACAAATGGCCAATTGGCACATGGAAAGATGGTCAACATTATTAGTTATTAGGGAAATGCAAATCAAAACCACCATCAAATATATTTTAACAGTCTGTCCAGTTCCTCAAGTATAACATAACATTGAAATAAAAGGAAAACAGGGGCCGGGCCAGTGGCACAGCAGTTAAGTTCATATGTTTCGCTTCAGTGGCCTGGTGTTTGCTGGTTCGGATCCCGGGTGTGGACATGGCACCACTTGACAAGCCATGCTGTGGTAGGCTTCCCACATATAAAGTAGAGGAAGATGGGCATGGATGTGAGCTCAGGACCAGTCTTCCTAAGCAAAAAGAGGAAGATTGACAACAGATGTTAGTTCAGGGCTAATCTTCCTCAAGAAAAAAAAAAGGAAAGCAATTTGTGGTTAAATAATATGGATTCTATTATTTACATTTGAATCCTGACTACCTTGGAAGACATAACAAAGTTATCACGTACGTACACCTCCCTGTAGAGTAACCATAAATGTAGGGGGAATGCTCTATGGTAAATTTCAAATCACAAGCAGCATTACCATGATGCATTTCCTTAACATGATGAAAAAGTGCTAGTATAACTTTGAACAAAGCAAAGTACTATATTCCTTCAATTGACATGGTAGTTGCATTTGTGGAATTTTTCATAAATATTAAACTCTTGCAAAAATAATTTTATTACATAGATTTAAATGTTTAGAAAAATATAAACATTTTTCATCTACATGAATGTACAGCAGAATATTTGAATATTTTGGAGGACTAGGGAAAACATTTCAGTTTTGCTTTTTGGCTTTTTTGGAGTGATTTGTACATTGCAGATCAAATAACATGCGTTGTGCTCTATATCACCAAGCCGCTAAAGGCAAATAGCAGTACCAATGAAAAAGGCAGAACAACAGTTTCTGAAATGCTGCCTTCCCCAGTGGCTGGACCCTTTAAGAACAATTGCTTTATACACACTTCTGTAGCAATTACATTCATGTCTCTTATCTAACACATTCCTTCTCTATTACAACTTATTTTATAAATGATGGCACCTATTGTCGCTTTCCAAAGCAACATGTTTAAGAACTTGGACATGATAAGTTGAGGAGGTATCAAAAAACTGCTTTGGAGACCAAAGCAGACCAAACCTCTCTAGACTCTAAAAGTGATGGAGGAGTTGTTGGAAATTAGGAAGAGGTTCCTTGTGAGGCTGAGCTCCAGTCCTCCCAGAGAGGAAGGAAGGAGTGCTTCCTTCTTCCTGCCAGCCTAATGAGAAGAGCTCGAGAAGTCCATTTTAAAAGCTTCCACTTGAATCCAATGAAATTTGTGGAATATAGTGGGATGGTGGCCAATGAAACAAGTA